GAGGATCACATCTGTTGTGAAAGATTTAAACTGGATTTCTGTATGGAGTGAGGGTCGGACCGGATGATCTAATGGTTCCCCTCCAACTTGGAATTGAGTTGAATCTGTAGAGAAATTTAGTTCTGGCCATGAGAAGGAAAGAGTAGAACAGTTGCTTAGTTCTGGGAAAGTAGAAAATAGTGGCGAATATCTGTAGCTCCCATGTAGGACGAGGGTGAAGGTTCGTTCTCTGAGCTTGTGGGTTGGTTTCCGAACGTTTCATTGCCAGGCTAGGTAACCTCTTCAGTGGCATTCAGGACAGTGATGGCGAGCCTTTTAGAGCAGGGTAGTCAACCTTGGCTCTTTTATGACTCGTGGACTTCAACTCCCAGAATTCCTGAGCCAGCATGGCTGGCTCAGGAATTCTGGGAGTTGAAGTCCACGAGTCATAAAAGAGCCAAGGTTGACTACCCCTGTTTTAGAGACTGAGTGCCCAAACGGAAAGAAACAATGTAATCTACAAAAACAACTGTAATCATTGCAACCAATTCTATGTGGGACAAACATCACGTCAATTAAAAACCAGGATCCATGAACACCAGCCAATCCCAAATCCTTAATCTCTACCCACATCGACAGCAAATAACATCAGTTCAATTGGAGCAACACTAAAATCATCAGCCACGCTGCCACCCGCCACGCTCGTGAATTCATCGAAGCCTGGCACTCCACGCGCAATTCCATCCACAGACACCCACAACTAGTCTCGGAATCCAAATCAACCACACAGCCAACCAGAGACAGCACCAACCCTCAACCAACCCACCAGCAGTTCACCTCCCAGTGACCCTGACCTGATGCAACCTCCCCATCACAAGCCCCTCACTGATGCCTCACACCTGACCCATCACAAGACCCTCACTCAACACCCGCATGCCTGAAGCCCTTATAAACAGAAGGACACCGACACTAACATTCCCTAAACTCCGCTGAAGATGTTACCTAGCCTGGTAACGAAATGTTCAGAAACCAACTCAGAAGCTCGGAGAACGAACCCAGAACAACCACACTTTGTCCTTAAAAGTGTGGCAGTGATGGTTTTGGATAGGGTTTCAACCTAGAACTAAGGAGTAATTTTCTGACAGTTAGAACAGTTAACCAGTGGAACAACCTGCCTCCAGAAGCGGTGAATGCTCCAACACTGGAAGTTTTTAAGAAGAGACTGGACAGCCATTTGTCCGAAATAGTATAGGGTTTCTTACCTGAGCAGGGGGTTGGACTAGATGACCTTCCAACATTATTGTTGTTGTTGTTACTATTATTATTACTATTATTATTATTACTACTACTACTACTACTACTACTACTACTACTACTACTACTACTACTATTATTATTATTATTATTATTATTATTATTATTATTATTATTATTATTATTATTATAATATAGTTAATACACTCCACATCAATAAAGTAGTAGTTAAGGTACTCCTTGACTTATGACTTACGTGGAAAAGGCAAGTTATGACCCAGCCATTTGTAGTGTCTTGTGATACAACATTTTTTCTGAAAATTGGAAGTTATTCCTGGTTTTCAGCAAAACCATGCCATCTTGAACAATGGGTTTGCTTAAGGATCACAGCGTTCGTTTAATGACTGAAGCAAAGGGGCTGTAAAATCAGGTTGGCCACATGCCTGGGGTCACCTGTATTCCAGGAGCCCCTCTGGGGTCTGTTTCTTGACTTGGCCTACCTTGCAAGGCTGGCAGAGCTTGCCACTCTGTTCAGGAAACAACGCTGAGCCCTCCGTCTCTCAGCGTGGTCTTGCAGAATTGAAGTGTGAGGTGGGTGCTGCATGACTGGATTTCTGGCAAAGGACTGAGACGTTGGCCAGAGGTCTGAACTGAACTGAGACGGTGGGGACCAAAGGCAGAGAGCCGGTGTTGTGGTTAAGGGGCTGCCAGGCCCCGGTGGAAACAACCGTCTCTCGGAAGCCCTGGCTTCTGGCCTGTAGCAAAAGTGATCTGAATGTTTTCCGACGAGGAATGTCGTGCCAGCTAGAAATGGACTTGCTTCTTAAATCGCTGTTTCTCTTGTGTGCCAATTGTCCCGTTTCCCTTTTTCCTTTCATTGTCACCTCAGGTTGGCACCTGTGCTTACATCACTCAGAAAGTTGAATATGCGGGTATTCGGTGAGTAAGCAGCTGTGCTTAGGATTTAGGATTTAGGATTTATTTCATTTATACCCCGCCCTTCTCCCGGAGGACTCAGGGCGGCTTACAGCCAGTTAAAACAATTACACAAAATACAAATCTAAGATAAATTAAAAATAAATATTCGAATTGGCCGCACTACTAAAATTCAATTAAAACCAATTTAAAATTACCCCTAGGCCAGTCCTGCCTGCTGAAACAGCCAGGTCTTGAGGGCGCGGCGGAAGGAGGGGAGATCCGGAATCAACCGGATCTCTGGGGGCAGCTCGTTCCAGAGGGTGGGCGCTCCGACAGAGAAGGCTCTCCCCCTGGGGGTCGCCAACCGGCACTGTCTGGTTGGCGGCACCCTGAGGAGGCCCTCTCTGTGGGAGCGTATCGGCCGGTGGGGGGTAATCTGTGGCAGAAGGCGGTCTCGGAGGTAACCAGGTCCGATGCCATGGCGCGCT